CTGCTTACACTCACTCACTCTCTCAAAAAAGATTTAAAAATAAATAAATAAATAAAAATGAAGAACCATAATTCATTCAAAAATCCCCCAGTGGGAATAAAAATGTGCACTGTATCTATTGTGCAGAACTTGGAACAGGTGATTACGAAAGATTAAAAAGAGTATAAAGTCTGTCTACATGATCACAGCCACAATGATCACAAAGAATAGATGATATATTCCCATGTAAAATATAAGAAATAGAAAGAAAGTACAGTAAACATTCAATGATCTAAAGATGAAATAACACTAGGAGATTGAATTTTATAATATCTTAACTATATTACAAATATACTATTTACACCCAGTACGTAAATAATATTTGCACATTAAAATTGGAATCAGGCTTCGAGATATCATTAACCACATATTGATGCCTCTCTTTGTAACTTTAAAAAAAGAAGCCTAGAATTCATTAGAAAGAGTGTGAGTATATGTGTGCAAGGTGTGTGAGACAGAGATGAGCATGAACAGTAGGGAGAATAGATGATGTATACCTGGCCTCATAGGCTCAAGGATTATCCATCATGAATTCCTCTCTTCTGTGGTCTTGGTCTTTAAGGATTTGCAGAGCCCAGAGATCAGAAGGACACTAAAAATATTGTCTAATGGGGAGTTTTGGATATTGACCCCCCAGGGATAGAACACTATAAAGAGTCATCATCCTGTGACAACCTCACAGTCCCTACCTAGTCAGGAAGAAGCACACCTGAGGCTCCAAGCAGGAATGATCTTTCTTGACCCTGAGCCCATTGCCTCACTTGGTCTCTCTGCCCTTCCTGAAGACAGATCTTCCATCTTTGTATCTAGGTGACATGTCATGCATCATTCCACACTGATGCCATCCAGGTAACTGAAAGTCCTTTAGTTAATGCTTCAATAAGGATGGCAGGTATTTTGCTACAGATTCATCCAGGGAAAGCAATGAAGAGGGTGCATGCATGAAACGAGACCTGGGTGTCCCAGGCATTCCAGCCTGTCTTCCTGTTGACAAGTGCCCATGTATGTCTGTACTGACACTGACCTTTATCTCAATCAGCTGTTCTTCTAATCTCTCTAAAACATGGCAGAACGTATTTTCCTCCTGTGAAGAAACTGGTCCCTTTTAAAACAAGAAAACCATTATACACTTTCTCACATTCCCTTGAATTCTTGTGATGGTCATGGGGAAGGGTTTGGGTCAGCTTCTCCCCTTACTTGCATTCCTCATTCTTGACATACCATTGCAGGGATGAGTGTATTATCCCTGTAGCTTGAGGACACAGGGAAGGGAGTCAGATACAGAGACATGTAGCCAGATACTTTCCTAGTACATGTATTTCTCTTCACAAAACTACAAGCATTTTATATAACAATAGCAGAGATGTAAGGCATTGATCATAATACCCATTAGTTAGGAATAGAGAAATTGTGATGTAACAATATTATGTAATACTTTCTGGTAATTAAAATTAGTGAATGGGACTATATATACCAACATAATAAAAAAATAAATTGCATAAGCATGCCAGTTTTAAATGGAATGTAGTGTATGGTTCCATGTATCTAAAGCTTTTAAAATGCAAAAGAATTTTTTTTAATTTTATTTTATTATGTTATGTTATTCACCATACATTACATCATTAGTTTTTGATGTAGTGTTCCACGGATTCATTGTTTGTGTATAACACCCAGTGCTCCATTCAATACGTGCCCTCCTTAATACGCATCACCGGGCTAACCCATCCCCCCACCCCTATCCCCTCTAAAACCCTCAGTTTGTTTCTCAGAGTCCATAGTCTCTCATGGTTCATCTCCCCCTCCGATTTCCCCCCTTCATTTTTCCCTTCCTACTATCTCTTTTTTTTTTTTTTTAACATATAATGTATTATTTGTTTCAGAGGTACAGGTCTGTGATTCACCACTTACACAATTCACAGCACTCACCATAGCACATACCCTCCCCAATGTCTATCACCCACCCACCCCATCCTCCCACCCCCCACCACTCCAGCAACCTTCAGTTTGTTTCCTGAGATTAAGAGTCTCTTATGGTTTGTCTCCCTCTCTGGTTTCAGCTTGTTTCATTTTTCCTCCCTTCTCCTATGATCCTCTGTCTTGTTTCTCAAATTCCTCATTATCAGTGAGATCATATGACACTTGTCTTTCTCTGATTGACTTATTTCACTTAGCATAATACCCTCTAGTTCCATCCACATCGTTGCAAATGGCAAGATTTTGGTTTTTTGATGGCTGCAAAATATTCCATTGTGTGTGTGTGTATGTATGTATATATATATACACCACATCTTCTTTATCCAAAGAATGTTTTTATGAAAGGATAAAACTAATTATAGTAAAAATTGCAGGGGAATAATGTACATAAAGTCAGTGTACTGGTTCCCCTGGGGAAGGAAAAGAATCAAGATTGTACAAACTTACGACGTGGGCTTTACCTATATCTCTACTATTAATTGCAATAAAAACACCTAGAATGAGGACAGTGAAGTGTCTAAACTTGATCATATCAACTAGTGGGAAACCCAGCATTTCACTGTTGTGTCTGTTATTTTTTGCCAGGGTTTTTATTTACTGGGGATTATAGCCTGGGAGATTTCAATATATATTTAAAGTTTTCTCATGCTGTAGGCTTTTGTCATATAAATATTTTTAGGTTTTTATTTTTTATCAACCTATAATTCTGATTCATTTTTTCTTTAATTCATTTTGATTGCTATATGGTTCATCATCTGTCCATGCCAAATGAATATTGACATCATTCCTGTGCACTTCATTCCTTTTCTAAACAATAGAGATTCCCAGCCAGAGTTTCAGCTCATAAACACTTCTCATGCTCATAAACAGTTATCATGCTAAGGATTTACTCTCTTTTTATTGTCTTTCCTCTGTTGCCCACCCCACTGCTTCCTTCTGAGAAATGAAATATTCCAGGTGCCATTGGACCAAAAACCACACACACACATGATAGCAAATGTTATTAGGAGGGTCCCATATGCTGAGTGCTGTGCTGGCTGCTTTTCTTCTCTGCACTGCTCATCACTGCAACATCCCCATAAGACATGATGACAGTTTCCACTCTACATTGAGGACACCAAGGCCTCCATACACTTGAAAAGCTTTCCGCATTTACAAAGAAGTGCTGGTTTGGGTTACATTCAGAGTTCTGAAAGTAACTAACACACCAGATGATAAAAGCTGTCATGGCCACATCTGTCTCCCCCAGGTGAGGGAGCATCACTGCTTTACAGAAGCAATCCTGTTAGGGCACTTGATTATTTTCTAAGTACCTTATAAATCTACACTGTCTTGAAGGTCTTTGTCTTCCAGGGACCAATAATTGTTTGAATTTTCTTCTACTTTGAAGAGTCTATACATTTGATTCTTTCTCTCATGTAGCTGCTTTTTAAAAATGATATGCCACCTACCATCTTGGGTGGAAAAGTCCCCTAAGGACAGAGAACATCACTGACATAGTTGCCTAGTTCTCATAGAATAAAACACTAACACAGATGAGTAGCATTTCCATGGAGGAGTCTTATGACTTTCAAGTTTATAAGCAACATTTTTCAACCTATGCTCAGGTGCAGAGCATATACTTGAATGCATGCCATGACCTGCTACCCTTTTTCATACTGCTACTCTATGTCATGGGTAGAGGTGGACATGCCTTGTATGTGAGGGAAAGATTTAAGGCATTTCTCAAGATGAAAATATTAAAATTTTGAAAGGAACCTAAGAAACATGAAATGGTTTAGGAATGCTAATGCTGTATCATCCAGAAGCATTAACAATGATTGGTCAAGACAGTCAAGTCATCCCATATGTGGAATTTAAGAAACAAAACATAAGGAGGGCACATACTGCATGGAGCACTGGGTGTTATACAAAAACAATGGATCGTGGATCACCACATCAAAAACTAAGGATGTACTGTATGGTGACTAACATAACATAATAAAATTAAAAACAAAACAAAACAAAACAAAAAAAAATGAGCTTAGGGTGGAAACTGAGGGGGGCGGCAAACCAAAAAACGGACTCTTAACTATAGAGAACAAATGGATGGTTACCAGAGGTTAGGGGGTGGAGGGATTAGTTAGATGATGGGGATCAAGGAAGGCACTTGTGTTGATCACACGGTATTGTGCGGAGGTGTTGAATCACTGTATTGTTACCTGAAATTAATATTGCACTGCATGTTAACTGGAACTTCAATAAAAGTTTAAAACCTTAAAAAAAAAAGACTGTTAGCTCAGTAGTCAGACAATCTGAAATCAGACCCAGTTTTTGCCACACACTGTGTACTTCACATCCCTGATGTAATCTCACCTCACCTAAGTCCCCATGGGTGAATGGAGTAATAATACGATTTAACTCATCAGTAATTTGACACACCTTTCAGATGATTCTGAGCATGTCAATGATTGGGCAGCAGACTCTGTAGGATAGATTGGATAATTTCACTCTTGTTTTTCTATTTGTTTGAAGGCAGAAATATTTCTGAAGAAAACACCATTCTTAATCATTTTAACCTCAGCACTTAGCACAATGCATGAAACAAAGCTGGTGATCCAAAAAAAAAAAAAAAAAAAGAGGGGGTGGGGCCATAGAGGGAAGAGGGGAAGAAGAGTGGGAAATGATGAAAGAGGGAAAACTTAGCAGAGGTAAAGTTGGAACATTCACATGGATCCTGGATAGTTTGTTTTGTTTTTTTTTTTTTTTTTCATTTTTTTAAAAGCACTGGCTCTCAAACTTGGGTGTATATCAAATTCATCTGGAGGGCTTGCCAAAAATAGATCACTGGTCCTCAACTCAGACTTTATTAGCAGTATATCTGGACTGATACCAGAATTTGTATTTCTAACAATTCCCAGGTGATCTTGCTGTGGCTTATCTAGGGACTGTTCCTTTTTTTTTTTTTTAATTTTCACGCCATCTTTTCCATCAGATTCATCAACAACATGGGACCCAGAAACAAAACAGTATTTTCAGAATTCTTTCTCTTAGGATTGACAGATGATCCAGAACTGCAGCCCCTACTCTTCAGTCTGTTCCTGTCTATGTACCTGGTCACCATCCTGGGAAATCTTCTCGTCATCCTGGCTGTCATCTCTGACTCCCACCTCCACTCCCCTATGTACTTCTTCCTCTCCAACCTGTCCTTTACTGACATCTGTTTAAGCACAACCACCATCCCAAAGATGCTGGTGAACATCCAAGCACAGATTCAGAGCATCAGTTATACAGGCTGCCTCACCCACGTCTGCTTTGTCTTGACTTTTGTTGGCTTGGAAAATTTTCTCCTTGCAGCCATGGCCTATGACCACTATGTGGCCATCTGCCATCCCCTGAGGTACACTGTTATCATGAACCCCCAACTCTGTGGCCTGCTGATGGTGCTCTCACTGCTCATTAGCATTGTCAATGCCCTGCTCCATAGTCTGAAGATGCTATGGTTATCCTTTATTTTTTTTAAAAAAGATTTTATTTACTTGACAGATAGAGACACTGCAAGGGAGGGAACACAAGCAGAGGGAGTGGGAGAGGGAGAAGCAGGCTTCCCGCCAAGCAGGGAGCCCGATGCGGGGCTTGATGCGGGGCTCGATCCCAGGACCCTAGGATCATGACCCAAGCCAAAGGCAGACGCTTAACGACTGAGCCACCCAGGCGCCCCTATGGTTATCCTTCTGTAAGGACTTGGACATCCCCCACTTCTTCTGTGAACTTGGTCAAATCATCAAGCTTACCTGCTCTGATACTCTCATCAATAATATCCTGGTGTATTTTTTGGCTAGCTTACTTGGGGGTGTTCCTCTTTCTGGAATCATTTTCTCTTACACTCAAATTTTCTCCTCTGTTTTGAGAATGCCATCAGATGGTGGAAAGTATAAAGCTTTCTCCACTTGTGGGTCTCACCTGTCAGTTGTGTCCTTGTTCTATGGGACAGCAGTTGGTGTGTACATTAGTTCTGCAGTTAGTGACTCTTCCAGGAAGAATACCATGGCTTCAGTGATGTACATCATGATTCCTCAAATGATGAACCCCCTTTTTTTTTTTAAAGATTTTATTTATTTATTTGAGAGAGAGAGAATGAGAGACAGAGACCAAGAGAGGGAAGAGGGCAGAGGGAGAAGCAGACCCCCTGCCGAGCAGGGAGCCTGATGCGGGACTCGATCCCGGGACTCCAGGATCATGACCTGAGCCGAAGGCAGTCGCTTAACCAACTGAGCCACCCAGGTGCCCCATGATGAACCCCTTTATCTATAGTCAGAGGAATAGTGACATGCAGGGTGCCTTGAAGAAACCTGTCTGTAGGATACCTTCTTTTCTGTGATTGTGCCATGTACCTTGGGCTGGGTTGTAAAAAATAAATCAAAGTTATACAAATCACAGGAGACCCAGAATGCTTACTATTTCTGTCACCAAATGCTTCTAACATGACTAGATAACATAACAGCCAAGTACATTTAAACTTAGGGTTGAAACCTAACTTTTATTTTTATTCAGCTTTTTTATGTTTGACAAGTTATTTCAATTCTTACTTCAATGTTTTACTCAGTTCCATAGAGGTAGAACCTGAGGCAGAGGTCAAAGTTTTATACTGTTTGTATGGATGACTTTCAGAAGAAGGAAAGTTGTACATCATGGATAGCTCAGAGAAATGATAGAAGCACGACTGTGGTCATATCTAGAGACCGGCTTACAGCTGATCCTGTGATTAGACCATGTCCATTGAAACCCAAAGTCAGGTCAACAGTGAGGCAAAGGAGTTCACCTTTCACACCCCAAGTTAGTTATTATGGAGACCAGTCACTGGTAAACTGTATTCCTTTGAGGCAACATCAGCATCCACTGTACTCAGTTTCATTATCTATATGATTGGTATAATGATATCATCTCAGTCTGAAATAATTGTGAGTTATTTGTGCTTCATCAGTGAGGAAGCCGTCAGTTCTAATAAGAGAAAAAACCTATCCCTAATATGGTGGAACAGGAAACAGTTGTTTGTCATTACTAGGATTTCAGAGATAGGGAATGTACAAGAACAGGGGAGTAGGCTTCACTCCATTTCTCCATTTGGTGGCTTTGTCCTAGGACTGGTTCTCTTCAAGTCACAAGGTGATGGCAGCAAATATAGATGTCATGCTTGAACATGATGCCCAGGGACAGAAAACTGTCCTCCCAGGGTCAGATGAGAATAGGCCTCTCAATGTAGTCAATCAAAGCAGATCTGTAGGAGGTGAAATGGGGACCCTCAATATGATATGCCCACATCCTAATCCCCCTAATTTGTAATTAGTAACTCATGTGATAAAAGGATGAATGGTATTGGAACTTATTTGGGAAAAGGGTCTTTGCAAACAATGCACTTATACTGGATTATCTGGGTAAGCCCTAAATAGAAATCATATGTTTCCTTATAAAATAGGTAGAAGTGAAAGAGACGCAGAGAAGAGGAAGAGGCAATGTGACCATGGAGACAGATATTAGATTGATGCTGCCAGTATTTGATTTCCAGTATTTGATCATTTTTGTCCTACAAACTGTAATTTTTTCCTACAAAACTGTCACTTTTACAGGACCCTAGTGTATCTTTTTTTTTATCACTGCTTTACATTGCCCAATACTACATATTAAATAAATTTGACCTAATATTGGTCTGGTTAAATGTTTAAACTTAATGAATTCTCATCAACACCAGCCATTTTGCAGAATAGGAGGTTCCTGACCCCCCCCCCCCCTCCTGGGAACACACTCACATACAGGTACACACAAATTAATTCCTTCTGAGAGAAATCCAGAAACTGGTTGGGTCACTCCTAGATATCAGAGGACTGAGAAAATACCTACCTCAAAACAGGTAGGAAAAGCTGAGGTATGCTTCACACCATCAGCCCCACCCCTGGGACAGCACCTTACAACCAGGAGAGAATCCCCAACTCAGCTTATCCCCGAGGAGTGAAGGGTTAAGACCACACACAAAGGGCCCCAACTGGTATGGCAAACCCAAGGGACTGGCTCCCAAATCTCCTACCTCTGAGAGCAATGTGGCTTGGCATTTCCAAGTCCCCAGATACCACAGAAAACCGAGAGGCAGTTTTTATAGGAGTACATGAGTACTTCTCATGGTTATCCCCCTGGGCTCAGCACAGAGGGAGGAAGTAGAAACACAAGGCTCCCACTTTTTCCCTGGAAGATGTTTGACTACATACTTTCCCAAGGGTTGGGCTCTACTCAGTCTGCATCCCTGATCTGATTGGGCTCCTCTGGAAGCCTGAAATGGCTTCTGGACACTTCTGATGGAGGCATCAGATGTCCTGATTTCACACTATACTACAAAATTATAATAATCAGGGGGGAAAGATGGAGGAGGAGTAGGGGACTCTATTTCAACTGGTCCCCAGAATTGAGCTGGATATCTACCAGACCACTCTGAGCACCCACGAAACCAGCCTGAGATGTAGGAAGATCTGGATCTCTACAAACAGAATATCGCAGGCAATTGGTTTTAAGGTACGAAGCGGGGAGCCCTGATTCTGCGGGCAAATATCAGAGGATAAACGTCAGCGGGAGGGTGCCTGGCCGTGGGGATCCTACACCAACGGTGAGCGACAGCCTTGCGCGCTGCGGACGGGGCACAGACTCACAGACCAGTAGCGGCGGGGAAAGGACTTTAGGGCAGCCCTGGGGGCGGAAACCCAGAGTGGCAGGGTCGCGTGTGAGAACTGGGAGCAGCTGGCAGTTTTAGAAGCACAAAGGGCAGAGACGTGCCCCAACCTGGAGGCAGGACTGGGGGCGCTGCGGAGGGGCGCACAACCCAGGCCGCTGCAGTTTATAGCAGCACGGACAGAAACAAACAGAGACGGTGTGGCCTGGAGAGCTCACTGAAGAACAGCCTGCGATCTCTCTGCTCTGAGGCAGAGGGTTGGAAATGGTCTCTTCTGCTCTGACTCGAGGAAGAGACGTGGAAAGGCGCCAGAGAACAAAAGCCCTAAAAACTGATTCCCGCTGAGCCCATCCCCCACCACAGGGGGGCAGGGCAACTCCGCCCAAACAGGGTTGCCTGAGTAACAGCATGGCAGGTCCCTCCCGCAGAAGACAGGGTGGGAAAACAAGAGGCCAGCAACCCTAAGGTCCCAAGAAAACAGGTGCATCTTGCTTGGGTTCTGGTCAATAATTTGGACTCTATACATTCCCTCAAACACCCATCAACAGAATGACTAGGAGGAGGAGCCCCCAAAATAGAAAAGACTCAGAGAGGGGCGCCTGGGTGGCTCAGTCGTTAAGCATCTGCCTTCGGCTCAGGTCATGATCTCAGGGTCCTGGGATCGAGCCCTACATCAGGCTCCCCACTCCGTGGGAAGCCTGCTTCTTCCTCTCCCACTCCCCCTGCTTGTGTTCCCTCTCTCGCTGTGGCTCTCTCTGTCAAATAAATAAAATCTTTAAAAAAAAAAAAAAGACTCAGAGATTATGACTTATGCTGCAGATTTACAAATGGATGCAGATATAACCAAGATGTCGGAGATGGAGTTCAGGCTAGCAATTGTGAAGACAATGGCTAGAATGGAGAAATCAATTAATGGCAACATAGACTCTCTAAGGGCAGAAATAAAAGGTGAATTGGCAGAACTTAAAAATGCTATCAATGAGATCCAATCCAATCTAGATAATCTAACAGCTAGGGTAACTGAGGCATAAGAGCAAATAAGCGACCTGGAAGACAATATAATAGATAAAAAGGGAAAAGAGTAGGCCAGGGAAAAACAACTCAGAATCCATGAAAATAGAATCAGAGAAATAAGTGACACCATGAAGCGTTCCAATGTCAGAATAATTGGAATCCCGGAGGGAGTGGAGAGAGAGAGAGGACTAGAAGATGTATTTGAGCAAATCATAGCTGAGAACTTCCCTAATCTGGGGAATGAAACAAACATTCAAGTCCTAGAGGCAGAGAGGACCTAAGATCTAGGAAAACAGGCCAACACCCCAGCATGTAATAGTAAAACTTGCAAATCTTAGAACCAAGGAAACCATCTTAAGGGCAGTTAGGGGGAAGAGATTCCTTACGTACAGAGGGAGAAACATCAGAATAATGCCAGACCTATCTACAGAGACCTGGCAAGCCAGAAAGGTCTGGCAAGACATATTCAGGGTACTAAATGAGAAGAACATGCAGCCAAGAATACTTTATCTGGCAAGGCTTTCATTTAGAATGGATGGAGAGATGCAGAGCTTCCACGACCGGCAGAAGCTGAAAGAATATGTGACAACTAAGCCGGCCCTGTAAGAAATATTAAGGGGGGTTCTATAAAAGGAGAAAGACCCCAAGAGTGATCTACAACAGAAATTTACAGGGACATCTATAAAAACAACGTCTTCACAGGCAACATGATGACAATTAATTCATATCTTTCAATAATCACTCTCAATGTGAATGGCCTAAACGCTCCCATAAAATGGCACAGGGTTGCAGATTGGATAAAAAGACAGGACCCATCCATATGCTGTCTACAAGAGACTCATTTTGAACCTAAAGATACATCCAGACTGAAAGTGAAGGGATGGAGATCCATCTTCCATGCCAGCGGACCTCAAAAGAAAGCTGGGGTAGCAATTCTTATATCAGACAAATTAGATTTTAAACTAAAGTCTGTAATTAGAGACACAGAAGGACACTATATCATTCTTAAAGGGTCTATCCAACAAGAAGATCTAACAGTTGTAAATATCTATGCCCCCCACATAGGAGCAGCCATCTACATTAAGCCAACTGTCAACCAAAATAAAGAGTCATATTGATAACAATACGTTAATTGTAGGAGACCTCAATACTCCACTCTCAGCAATGGACAGATCATCTAAGCAGAAAGTCAACAAGGAAACAAGAGCTTTGAATGATACATTGGACCAGATGGACCTCATAGATATTTACAGAACATTCCACCCTAAAACAACAGAATACTCATTCTTCTCGAGCGCACATGGAACTTTCTCCAGAATAGACCATATACTGGGTCACAAATCAGGTCTCAACTGATACTAAAAGATTGAGATTATTCCCTGCATATTCTCAGACCACAATGCTTTAAAACTGGAACTCAATCACAAGAAAAAATTTGGCAGAAATTCAAACACTTGGAAGCTAAAGACCATTCTGCTCAAGAATGTTTGGGTCAACCAGGAAATCAAAGAAGAACTTAAACAATTCATGGAAATCAATGAGAATGAAAACACATCGGTCCAAAACCTATGGGATACTGCAAAGGTGGTCCTAAGGGGGAAATACATAGCCATCCAAGCCTCACTCAAAAAAATAGAAAAATCCTGAATTCA